GTGACACCAGTTACATTCCGCTTGCGCTTACCAGATACTTGGAAGCTTCACAACGCTTTCCATGTGCAGCTACTGAAACCCTACAAGGACTCCAACCAACAGTTCCAGGGACGGCAGCTACCGCCACCTCCACCTGTTCTTGTGCAGCATGAACCCGAGTACGAGATCGAGCGCGTTCTCTCTCATCGGCGCCGCAGCGGCAAGACCCTCGAGTTCTTGATACGCTGGAAGGGATAGGACCCCACTGAGGACAGTTGGGTTGCAGAAGCTGATATGGGCAACGCACGCCGTGCTCTAAAGGACTATCTTGTCAAGCAGGGTGTATCTCATGCCACCCAGCTTTGAGGGGGGGATGTGTGAGAGTACGACGGCTTATGCCAGCTATGCTTGCTTGCCTTTACTTTATCATGCTATTTCTAGCATAGGATAATCATATGCATGCATGAATTGCTTGATTCCCTAGGCTAGGTGCTTTCCTATATTTTATTATAGTAATGGCACCGAGCTAGGTTGCGTGCACCAAATTCTGGCCTTTTCGGTTGCCACCGAATTATCAAGAATAGTAGTTGAGGCCTAGGGTTCGACCTAGGCCAGAGTGACAAGAGAAAAGTGGTCGAGAGAGTTTGCCAAAAAGAGGATGATTCAATATTGAGCGAGGGTACAAATAGGGAAGAATCAGGATAGGTGCACCACCAAAACAGAACATTATATAACTACAGTAGTCTACACTACAGGCAGTTACAAAACAATATATAGATTTATATATTATTCTGACACGAATTGTCTACTACCAAATTCGGTAAGGATCCGTTTGGGACGCTACGCGGCCCGCGGAACCTTCGCGTAACACCTGGTTACGGGGCCTTGTGTCGAGCCTATATATAGCCTCGTGTTGTACCCAGGTGATCATTCAATTCGACTCAATTCTCATTCTTGTTTCTGAGCTCGATCCTAGATCCTCACAGTTGAGATGGTCTATAGAGTGAGAACCAAGAAAAAACGTCTAGCAGCCGCATGGCTAGAATGGTGGAGGAAGTACAAACATTAAGGCATAGAAAGTTGGAGTTGGGGACTCCAAGAGAACCATGAGAGGGAAGGGGTTCTCCACGAGCTAGAGAAGGATGGTAGGAACCTTCCTAGCAGCAAGGATGCGGCCCTCATCATGAGGTCCTTGAGGTGTCACATGCAAAATCCAATCTAGTTGGATTTTGCCTAGGTGTTGCAACATTTGCAACCCATGCTAGAAAATTCTAGCCACCCCAATCCAAAAGTCAAATTTGGCTTCCTAACCACCAAACCAAAGATCCCTTTATAGTCATGTCCCAAGTAATCACCCAAATTAGATATAACCCTAAAAGGTTACAAGAAATCCAAGTCTTGGAAATCTTGTAACTTGGGCGAATTGGTTGGAATAAGGCGATCTTGGTGTCGTTGGAAAGCTATGGATTTCTCCTGCGTGATCAAGCATTTATACTTGGAGAAAAACTCAGAGATGATAATATCCAACAGCCATGCACAATGACATACGCTCATGCAAATCATGCAAGCACAAATAGCACGAGCACTCGGCAGGACGTTAGGATGACATGCACTCAGAATGATGTGCATCCAACTCGGCTGCCCTAGGTGCTAGTGCGTCTCCGTCTGCTGGTACCGCACCTACTGAGGCACTACACATCTTTACACTGGACTAAGGTGCTTCCTGCTGTTTCTTTGGCAACCGCACTGCCCTCCAGCAGCCTTCTAGACCGGTTGTTGTCTTCCAGGCTGACCCCTCAGGGGGTCCGGTCCTTGCGACCTCCACCACTGCCCTCCCTTGTCCTGCTGTCCCGTCTGGCACGCTGTCGGGCCTCTACCTCCCCTCGTTCTCTATGAACTTGGTCGCGGGGTCCACGCTCCAGGACACGAGTGTTCACCAGTTCACCCCGGCCTACGAGCGTGTGACACACTGCACGTGTGCCCGGACGGGTCGTCACCTGGCTACGCTCACTCGGCAGCCGGGGTCGGACTTGTACACAGTGACCATTGAGTCCCCTCAGGTAGCTGCGTCTGCGTCTGCGTCAGGTCAGCTGATGGCCCCCTGCTCGTGTCGCTCCCTGTCGCACAGGACTGTCCTCTGGCACCACCGCCTTGGTCACCCGTCAGTGCAGCGCCTTCGCGGCATGCACTCCAGGTACCTTGTCTCTGGTCTTCCCAGAGTTCTCCCTCCCCTGCGACCCTCGCCCGCTCCTCCCTGTCTTCCCTGTGTCGAGGGGCGGCAGCGCGCCGCTCCTCACTCCTTCTCGTTCCCTCCCACAGAGGCTCCTCTACAGACTCTCAACCCGGACGTGTGGGGCCCCGCCCGCGTCCGGGGACAGGGCCACGAGCGGTACTTTCTGCTGGTCGTCGACGACTACACGCGCTACACTATGGTCTTCCCCTTGCGTACCAAAGGGTGAGGTCCCTAATATCTTGATCCCCTTGATCCGCGCTGCTCGTCTCCAGCTCCGCCAGCGGTTCCAGTCGGAGTTTCCCGTCCTACGTCTGCACTCTGATAGAGGTGCCGAGTTTTCCTCTAACCTCTTGGCAGCCTACTATGCGGAGCACGGCATCCGCCAGACGTTCACTCTCCCGGCCTCTCCGTAGCGGAATGGGGTTGCTGAGCGCCGCATTGGTCTTGTCATGGAGGTCGCTCGTACCTCCATGATCCATGCGGCTGCCCCCCATTACCTGTGGCCGTTTGCAGTGCACTACGCCGCGCATCAGCTCAACCTTTGGCCCCGTGTCTCCGTTCCGGAGACCTCGCCCACCCTGTGTTGGACGGGGGAGGTTGGTGATGCGTCGGTGTTCTGAGTCTAGGGATGTCGAGCTTTTGTCCTCGATACGTCCGCGGACAAGCTCTCCTCCCGTACCGTTTCCTGTGTCTTCCTTGGCTTTGTCCCTTACGCGCCTGGCTGGTAGTTTTACCACCCCACCTCGCGTCATGTCTTCGCCTCTCAGGACGTCACCTTTGACAAGTCGGTACCCTTTTACTGTTTCTTCCCTTACCGCACTGCCCCGCTCCCCCCCCCGCCGCTCTTCCTCACCCCAAGTGTCTCGTCGGTAGACCCCCTCCCTCCCCAGGGTGCTGCTCCCTCAGGTGTTTCCCAGGTAGAACGAGTCGAGCCTGTCGAGGTAGCTGTTGACTCTGGTCGTGCGCGAGGTGCTGAGCGTGCTGAGCCTGGTGGTGCTGGGTCTGGGGGCACGGAGACTTGGGGTGCAGAGCCTGGGGGTGCGGAGACTTTGGGTGCTGAGGTTGGGGGTGTTAAGACTGGGGGTGATGAGACTGGGGGTGCTGAGCCTAGTGGCGCTCCCTCTTCACAGCAGCTGCGTGAGTGGTACTCCCAGCGCTACAGCCTCCGTCGGAGGGCGTCTTGAGCTAGGGGGTCTACTGGGGTCGGGGCTGGTGGCCCCGCGGGTGCAGTGTCGCAGCCTGAGCCTTCCTCCCCTCAGCGGCTACGTGAGCGGTACGCTCGGCGCTGCAGCCTCAGAAGTGGGGCTCCTGGTCCTGAGGCACCACCAGCTGGATGTCTTGGAGCTGTTGGAGGTGCTGCTGGTGCTGCTAGAGGCCCTGGAGCTGGTGGAGGGGTTGCTGGTGCCACTGGAGGTACTAGAGCTGCTGGTGGTGCTGAGCGAGTTGGAGCTGCTGCTGGAGGTTCTGGTGCTGTCTCTCCTGCTTCTAGGGGCGCTTCACGGCCGCGGCCGTACTTTGTTCCACTCCTTCAGCAGATTCTTGGTCAGCCACCTCCTCCTCGTCCTCCTCCCTCCTTAGAGTTTCCTTCGCCTGTTCAGTCGCAGTCACAGCTACCGCCTGCCTCGCCACTTCCTGGTCCTTCTCCCTACACTGGTCCGACAGGCGGTCTTACAGAGCGTCGTGAGCTTGCGTCTCGTCCTGTGTCGCCTGTGTCTCGCCCTGTGTCACCTGTTCGTAGTGCTTGCAATGGTCGCCGTGTTCTGCGTGAGCGTCCTCATGCTGTCCCTGGCACACACTATATGACTCTGCGTCCTTCCACTACTCCACAGCGTGTCCCTCTGCCGTCTCCTCCTACGTCCTCTCTTCCTGCCCTTGCTGACCCGGAGTCTGAATCTCTTCGTGCTACCAGTCTTGCTGTCACGCGTCTCCTAGCCACTGCTGTCACTGACCCTTCCTTTGAGTCTGCTGCTGCATCTGCCCTAGTTGCTGAGCTTGTCGACTTTGCTGCTCACTGTCGTCTAAACTACACTACGAGTCTTGTTGTTGAGTCTGAGTCTGTCTGTCCTCCGTCCGTCGGGGGTGAGCGTGCTCTAGGCACGGACGTCCTTCAGGATAGAAAGGAGGACCTTGAGTGTCTTGCAGCCGCTGCGCCTCATCTCGTGTCCATGCTGGTTGCCCTTGAGGGAGACCCGGATGCTCCAGACATACCGACCCCGGCTCTTACGCTGAGGCAATCGCGAGTGAGTACTCCTCTTAGTGGCAGACACGTATGGACGCAGAGATGGCATCCTGGAAGTCCACTAGCACTTACGTCGACGAGGTTCCCCCTCCTGGGGCGGCCGCCGGGTTCTCCGCCTGTCTTCAAGGCTCGTTACGTCGCTTGAGGCTTCAGTCAGCTAGAGGGAGAAGACTTCTTTCAGGCCTTCTCCCCCACCCCGAAGATGACCATTCTTAGAGTGCTACTGCACGTTGCTGCTCAGCGTGACTACGAGCTTCACTCTCTTGACTTCAGCACAGCTTTCTTGCAGGGCAGTCTACACGAGGAGATGTGGCTGTGCCGCCCTCCTGGCTTCACTGGGTCGTTTCCTCCTTGTACCCGTTGGAGCCTCCGGCGGCCGGTCTACGGTCTCCGCCAGGCGCCACGTGAGTGGCACGACACACTGAGGACTACTCTTACGGCTCTTGGGTTCGCGCCTTCTACTGCTGACCCGTCGCTGTTTCTGCACACCGACACTTCGTGTCGGGCATATATGCTATACTGTGTGTAGGCTATACTGGGGCAGTTCATATGGGGTACAACACTTTAGGGTTTACTACTTGTACTCCTCATTCTGCTCAGTGCAGTCATTCCTTGTTTCTTATTGTGGTATCGATCAGGTTCCCAAGTGGGAACGCTACCTAGGGCCCACCAAGATTTCTTTTCATGCCCGGAGCGCGCTTCACTCCTGCCCGAGTCGCGCTCTGTGTGCCCTCCCTACCTTCGCGCCTCCCTTGGTGGCTCTCCACGGCCCCTTACGCCGCCCTTACGGCCCCTAGCGCCGCCCTGTACGGCCCCTCGTGCCGCCTTTACGGCCCCTTAGCGCCCCTTGCGTTGCCTTTACGGCCCCTTACGACCCCTCGCGCCGCCCTTACGGCCTTCGCGCGGCCCCCTTTCGGCCCCTCGTGGCGCCCTTTTGGCCCCTTACGACCCCGTTGCCGCCCCATTTAGGCCCCTTGCAGCCCCTCTTTGGCCCTGTATAGGCCCCTTGCGACCCCTCTGCGGCCCCTCTACGACCCCGTTGCCGCCATCTGCGGCCCCGTCGCCGTCACCTACACCCCCATTGCTGCCACCTGCGGCCCCGTCGCTGTCACCTACGGCCCTGTCGCCGCCACCTATGGCCCCGTCGCCGACAACTCCGGCCCCGTCCCCGCCACCTACGGCCCCGTCGCCGCCACCTGTGGCCCTGTCACCACCAACTGCGGCCACGCAGCCGCCACATGCGGCCCCGCTGCTACCTGCGACCCCGTCGCCGCTACCTGCGGCCCCATCGCCGCCACCTGCGGCCCCATCGCCGTCACCTGCGGCCCCGTCGCCCTCCCCTAGCAGCAACGTCGCCGCCTCTACCGGCCCTGTCAGCGCTCAGCCGCCCAGTGACCGAGCCGCCGAGCAGCCCAGCAGCCGAGCCGCCCACCAGCCCAGCAGCCAAGCCGCCTAGCAGCCACGTTGCCTAGCAGCCGAGCCGCCCACCTGCCGAGCCGCCGAGCCGCCCAGCAGCCGAGCCGCCGAGCCACCGAGCCGCCCAGCAGTCGAGCCTCCCTGCAGCCGAGCCGCCCTACAGCCAAGCCGCCGAGCCGCCCTACTCTCGAGCCGCTGCTGATCCTACCGGTGCACCCTGGCCCTCCTTCCTCGGACTGGTGACCTCACTCCCTACTAGGCCACTGCAGTCATGGCTACCCCCAGTGTCCTTACTTTTGATGCTGAGGGCCGTACCGCTGACTTTGAGGTCTCGGTCGATGACCTCCAGCTGTTTCTCCAGTGCGATAGGGCAGACGGATTCTCTTTGTTTAAAATAACCTCTGGTGTCTCTCTTGCCTCGCCTGCTACTGCTGACACCACTGTTCGCTCACAGTGGGCCACACGCAATGCTGCTGCTTGCTTTGCTGTGCGTAGCCACTTACCGACCACTGAGCGTGCACACTTTAGCCAGTACAAGAGTGCTCAGACCTTGTACGACGCTGTAGTTGCACGCTACTCTTCCCCTGCCATTGCTGCACTGAGCCGCCTCATGCTACCGTACCTCTTTCCCGACCTTGCTGCCTTTCCCACAGTCGCTGACCTCATTACGCACCTCCGCACTAGTGACACTCGCTACCGCGCTGCGCTTTCTCCTGAGTTCTGCGCCAAGAACCCCCCCGCCCCCCCATGTACATTACCCTTTACTACATAGTCACCCGACTCACTGACTCTCTTGGCGTCGTCAGGGACCACTTCCTCTCAGTTTGCCCCACCACCCTCACTGTTGACCTCCTCGAGAAGGGCCTCCTCCTAGCAGAGAAGAGCATAGTCGCTGTAGGAGCCTCTTATGGTGACCCTCCCAACCCCGTCTTTGAGGGGTGTTCCCCCTCCCCCCTCTTGCTCTCTGTTGCTTCTGCTGCTACGGCCTACCTCGTTGGCTTCGAATCGGTCGGCGCTGCGTATGCCTCTAGCAGGAGACGCCGCACCGGCAAAGGCAAAGGGGGCAAGGGCGCTGGAGGGGCTGGCGGGGGCGGTGGAGGTGGTGGTGGAGGCAGTGGAGGGGGTGGGGGTGGTGGTCGGAGTGGTGGCGGGGGTGGCGGCGGCGGCGGCAGCAGTAGAGGCGGAGGAGGCGGCGATGGTGGCGGAGGGAGCGGAGGCGGCAGAGGTGGCGGAGGAGGCGGAGATGGAGGAGGCGGCGGAGGCGGCGGCAGCGGCGGCGTCGGCGGTGGTGGAGCGGGTCGGGACTCTGCGTAGAGGAGTGGCTCAGGTGGTGGTCCGCGCCAGCAGCAGAGGAGTGGTGTGACCCTGTACCCTTAGCAGCTACGTGAATGGTACGCTGCGCGTCAGCGCGGTGGGGGTACTGGTCCCTGCACTTACGTCCTACGTACCGGCGACCAAGCTGGTGAGCGGTGCGGGGGCCCCCACTCCACCCAGCGCTGCTTCGGTTGCCTGACGGACGCGTGGCGTCGCCAGTTCCGTGAGGCGTCAGAGATCCCTCGCCGGGGAGATTTGTCTAGGGCGGGGGTTGCCATCTTTGATCTTGACTATGATGCTATCCTTGCCACCATGTATGTTATGACTACTAGTGTTGAGGGTGAGTGTTACCTGTGTTTACCGCCTGACCCGGGCATTGAGGCCACTGCTCTAGGTGCTGGTGAGGCTGCTGCTCTAGGTGCTAGTGCGTCTGCTGCCCCAGGTGCTGGTGCGTCTGCTGCCCCAGGTGTTGGTGAGTATGCTCTCTATGGTACTACATCGGCTCAGGACTTACACACCTTCACCCTTGACTTGGGTGCGTCTTGCTCCTTCTTTCTAGACCGCACCACTCTTACGTCGCTCAGTCGGCCGGTTGCAGTCTCCCTGGCGGACACCTCTGGGGGTCCTGTCCTTGCTAGCTTCTCCACTGTCTTATCGTGCCCGGCACCCGCCTCTGGCACCCTTTCAGATCTCTACCTCCCCTCGTTCTCTACGAACTTGGTGAGTAGAGCGGACCTTCAAGATAGGGGGGTTAACATGTTCACTCCTGCGAGTCAGCGAGTGACCCACTGCACGTGTGCTCGGGCAGGCTGACACGTTCACCCGTCAGCCAGGGTTGAGCCAGTACACCCTTACTACTAAGTCTCCTCCGGCTGCTGAGTCTGGCCAGGTAGCTGCGTCGAGTCAGGTATTTGCTGCAGCGTCCAGGTCTAATCCTGAGTCTGCTCCCTGCTCGTGTCGTCTACTGTCCCACCAAACTCTCCTCTGGCACCACCGCCTTGGTCACCCATCCTTGCCTCGTCTGCGAGGTATGGCCTCCCGTGTCCTTGTCTCTGGTCTCCATCGGTCTCTCCCTCCCCTACCTCCGGGGCTTGGCCCTACCTGCGTCCCCTGCGTTGAGGGGCGACAGAGGCTCCGCTGCAGACCCTCCACATGGACGTGTGGGGCCCCGCTCGCGTTTGTGGGCAAGGGCACGAGCGGTACTTCCTGCTAAAGGTTGACGACTACTCGTATTACACCACCCCGCGCATCAGCTCAACCTTCAGCCCCGGGTCCCTTTCCAGAGACCTCCCCTGCCTTGCGGTGGACGGAGAAGGTTGGCGATGCGTCTGCGTTTCGGGTCTGGGGATCTCGGGCGTTTGTCCGCGACTTGTTTGAGGACAAGCTGTCCCCCCGTGCTGTTCCCTGCATCTTCCTTGGCTTCCCCCCCGACGCGCTTGGGTGGTAGTTTCACCACCCCACCTCGCGCTGTGTTCTATCCTCCCATGATGTCACCTTTGACGAGTCGGTGCCTTACTACCGTTTCTTCCCCTACCGCACTGCGCCCCTCCCCCCGCTGCCGCTCTTCCTTGCGCCAGGTCCTCCCCCCTCAGGGTAGACCCCCTCCCCCGTCAGGGTCCTGCCTCGTCAGGTGTGTCCCAGGTAGACGCAGTCGAGCCTGTCGAGGTAGCTGTTGACTCTGGTGCTGCTAGAGGTGCTGCGCCTGCGGGTGCCGGGTCTCGAGGTGCTGAGTCTGGGGGTGCTGAGACTTGAGGTGCAGAGTCTAGGGGTGCTGAGCCTGGGGGTGCTGAGCCTGGGGGTGCGGAGCCTGGGGGAGCGGAGCCTGGGGGCGCAGGGTCTGCTCGTGTGGCCGCCGGCGGTGCTTCATCGAGGCGGGAGCCACTCTCTCCACAGGAGCTGCGCGAGTGGTTTGCCCACCGCTGGTGACATGCTGCTGGAGCTGGAGGTACTACTGTTGCTGCTGGTCCCGGAGGTGCTCGTACTGGCGGTCCTGGAGCTGCTGGGACTGGGGGTGCTGCTGGGGCTACTGGAGTTGGTCCTGCTGGAGCTGCTGGCGGTGTTGGTGCTGCTGGAGCTAGAGTTGCGGGGGGAGTTTGCGCTGGTGTTTCTACTGGCGCTGGTGCGTCCGAGGGTGCTATTGAGGCTGCTGGAGTTGACAATCCTACAAGAGTTGGTGCTGCTCGAGCTAGAGCTGCTAGAGCTGGAGCTGCTGGGGGTGTTGGCGCTGGCGGTGCTGCTGACGCTAGTGCTTGTGAGGGTGCTGGAGTTGGCGCTGTTGGAGCTGGAGGTGCCGCTGGCGCTGGTGCTGCCGCTGGGGGTACTAGTGCTGTCCTTGCTGGTTCTGGAGGCGATGCGCGGCCGAGGCCATACTTTGTTCCGCTCCTAGAGCGGGTTCTTGGTCTCCCACCCTCTACTGGTCTTGCTCCTTCCTGAGAGTGTCCATAGCTTGTCCAGTCGCATTCACAGTTACAGCCCGCCTCCCCTCTATCTGCTCCTTCTCCCAACAATGGTCCTACAGGAGGTCTTGCTGAGCGTCATGAGCCTGTATCTCTTCCTGCGTCGCCTGCTCTTGCTGCTCGCACTAGTGGTTGTACTGCGCGTCCGCGTCCTCCTGCGGTCCCCAGTACACACCAGATGGCGCTGCGTCCTTCCACTGCTCTTATGCGTGTCCCGTTGCCGTCTCCTCCAGAGTCTTCTCTTCCTACTCTTGCTGACCCGGAGTCTGACTCTCTTCGTGCTGCTAGTCCTTCTTTCACGCGTCTCTTGGCTATTGCAGTCACTGACCCTTCCTTTGAGTCCACTGCTGCGTTTGCCCTAGTTGCTGAGCTTGTCAACTTCGCTGCTCGCTGTCATCTACACTACGCTGCTAGTCTCGTTGGTGAGTTTGAGTCTGTCTGTCCTCCGTCCGTCGGGGGTGAGTGTTCTCTTAGCATGGACGTCCTTGAGGTCAAGCAGGAGGAGTTCCAGTGCTTTGCTGCTGCTTTGCCCCATCTTGTGTCCGCGCTGATTGCCCTTAAGGGAGACCCGGATGCACCAGACATTCCGACTCCTCGATCGTACGCTGAGGCAATCGAGTGTCCCTACTTCTCTCAGTGGCAGTCGGCCAAGGACGCAGAGATGGCTTCCTGGAAGACCACAAGCACCTACGTTGACGAGGTTCCCCCACTTGGGGCGAACATCGTCAGTGGCATGTAGATCTTCAGGGTGAAGCGGCCGCCGGGTTCCCCGCCTGTCTTCAAGGCGCATTACGTGGCTCGAGGCTTTAGTCAGCGGCAGGGAGTTGACTACTTTCAAACCTTCTCTCCCACCCCGAAGATGACCACTCTTCAAGTGCTGCTGCACATAGCCGCTCAGCGCGACTACGAGCTTCACTCTCTTGACTTCAGCACAACTTTCCTGTAGGGCAGCCTGCACGAGGAGATCTGGCTGCGCCGCCCACGTGGCTTCACTGGGTCGTTTCCTCCTTGTACCCAGTGGAGCCTCCGGCGGCTAGTCTACGGTCTCCCCGAGTGCCCCGTGAGTGGCACAACACATTGAGGACTATATTTGCGGCTCTTGGGTTTGCTCTTTCTACAGCCGACCCATCGCTGTTTTTGCGCACCGACACCTCTTTGCCGCCGTTCTACATCCTAGTGTACGTGGACGACTTGGTATTTGCCACTACTGACACTGCTAGACTCGCCCACGTGAAGTTCGAGCTACAGAAGAGACACACGTGCACAGACCTGGGTGAACTGTGCAGCTACCTTGGCTTGCAGATCACCCGGGACAGAGCACAGCGCACCATTACCCTGACTCAGTCACACATGGTGCAGCAGGTCCTTCAGCGCTTTGGTTCACGTACTCCTCGCCTTAGGCCACTCCTCTGTCTACTCGCCACTCGCTCTCAGCTTTGCCTTCGGATGAGTCCGTAGCGCCGAGTGGCCCGTACCCAGAGCTTGTTGGCTGCCTCATGTACTTGATGACCTGCACACGACCTGACCTTGCATACCCTCTTAGCATCTTGGCATGCTATGTTGCTCCTGGGAGACACCGACAAGAGCACATGGCTGCAGCAAAGAGGGTGTTGCGCTACGTGTGCAGTTCATCGGGCATGGGACTAGTGCTTGGAGGGCGACGTCGAGTGGTCCTTACAGGTCACGCACACGCTTCTTGGGCTGAAGAAGAGCCGACACAGCGGTCGTCACAGAGTTACACCTTCAGCCTTGGCTTTGGCTCTGTTTCGTGGTGGTTTACCCGCTCGTCTTCTGTTCTCACATCCAGCTGTGAGGCTGAGATCTACGCGAGGGCCATGGCTGCACAAGAGCTACGCTGGCTCACCTACCTGCTGACTGACCTAAGAGAGCTGCCTCGTTCTCCTCCAGTTCTGTACGTAGACAACAAGGCCATGCTGGCCTTGTGTCGGTAGCACAGACTGGAGCACAGAACGAAGCATATTGCTCTTTGCTACTTCCTAGCTCGTCAGCTGCAGGAGCGTGGTCAGCTCCGCCTCAGCGACGTGGCCTCTGAGGCCAACATTGCTGATATCTTTACCAAGGTCCTTCGGCCTTGTGATCATCAGCGCTTCTGTGCTATGCTAGGTCTTGTGCCTACTTGGCCTCACTTGCTCACTTCTTGACCTTGTCTGTACTGTTCTCTTTCTATACCTGCACTTGCTTGTTTGCCTTTATGTATATGATCTTGCATGTGAACTGGCCTTGTGGCCTTGCTCTAGTGCTCGGACTGTGTGGTGAGGTTGTGATCCACTCCGAGCTTACCTTTCTTTGCTTGACTGGTCTTGTGACCCCTTGTTGTCCCGCACTTGGCCTATGGGGATGTGTCGGGCATATATGCTATAGTCTGTGTAGGCTGTAGTGGGGCAGTTCATGTGGGGTACAATAGTTTAGGGTTTACTACTTGTACTCCTCATTCTACTCAATGCAGTCATTCTTCGTTTCTTATCACTTTGCTGTCGCCGTTCTACATCCTCGTATACGTCGACGACTTGGTCTTTGCCACTGCTGACACTGAGGCTCTCGCCCACGTGAAGTCGGAGTTGCAGAAGAGAGACACGTGCACAGACCTGGGTGAACTGCTCAGCTACCTTGGTTTGAAGATCACCCAGGACAGAGCACGCCGCACCATCACACTGACTCAGTCACACATGGTGCAGTAGGTCCTTTAGTGCTTCAGCTTCACCTGGTCCTCAGCACAGGCCACTCCTCTGGCTATAGGTCACTCGCTCTCAGCTTTGCCTTAGGATGAGTCCGTAGAGCCGAGTGGTCCTTACCCAGAGCTAGTTGGTTGCCTCATGTACCTGATGACTTGCACTCGTCTAGACCTAGCGTACCCTCTTGGCCTTTTGGCCCACTATGTGGCTCCTGGCAGGCACCGAAAGGTGCACTGGGATGCTGCAAAGAGGATATTGCGCTACTTGTGCAGTACATCTGGCATGGGGCTCGTGCTTGGAGGAGGGAACTCAGTTGTTCTCACTGGGCACTTAGACGCTTCTTGGGTTGACGACCAGGCTACTCAGCGGTCGTCACAGGGTTACACCTTCAGCCTTGGCTCTGGCTCAGTTTCGTGGCGTTCTACGCGTTTGTCTTCAGTTCTCAGCTCCAGTTGTAAGGCTGAGATCTACGCCACAGCCATGGCTGCACAGGAGTTGCGTTGGCTCACCTACCTGCTGACTGACGTGGGAGAGCGGCCTCGTTCTCCTCCAGTGGTGTACGTCGACAACAAGGCTGCCATTGCCTTGTGTGAGGAGCATAGACTTGAGCACAGAACGAAGCACATCGCTCTACGTTACTTTGTGTCTCGAGAGCTGCAGCAGC